GGCGGGTTTGTCTGGGCAGACGGCGGGAACGTTGAACACGCTTGTGTCAGCGATGGAAGCGACAGGGTTGCTGACAAAGGAAATCCTCTGTCCCCATGAGGCTGAGGGAAAAAATAGTATAGGTTTAACGCCCGTATCAACACTATTAGGTAATTTAAGAGGGGAGACTACCGAGTTTAACGTCCAACTACGAAAGAATAGAGCCAAATGAGAAAATTCTGTAAAGTGCCTTTCCCAAGGACACTACGTGTAATCGAGCTTGTTGAGATAAAGGGTCCTGTAGCCTAACCACTAGGCTACCCACGCCACGTGGGGCTGAAGAGGAATAGGATTGTCTGTAAATATTTGTTTCTAACCAATAACGTACAGACTTTGAAACTATGATCAGAGTTTTTAAAAGTACGAATAGAAAACACGACGAGTTCAGAAAAGAAAGCGTAATACTTTTTGTTCAAATTCTTCTCTGCTGAAAGTGTGTCATTAATTTTCATCTGTTTTCTAATACACACAAGTCTGTCATGCTAATTGGGTTTACCACGATCACATGACAATTTGTGATGCAGAAATTGCATTTTCAAGAAAAGTTAAGAATCTTGACATATATTTTAACTCCAGTTTGTCAATGTCGGCTGAGGTAAATCATCTGATCAGCTGCATGTGTTTAGGAATAAGAAGAAAAAAGTAAAATAGGTAATCTAATCAATACTAAGTTTACTGCTTTACTAGTAACTAGCTACGTTTGATCAAGACTCGATTATTGCAACTCCTTGTTATCAGGGATATCACTGAAGAAACTTAAAAGACTTCAAACTGCCCAAACAATGCTGCACATTTAGTTTTACCGAAAAGAAAGCGAGACTCTGCTAAATCTCTTTTACCGACATTGCATTGGCTTATTGTTGAGAAAAGAATTGTGTACAATTTGGCCACTCTATGTCACAAATGCTAGAATGATAATGCGCCACCTTATTTATCAAATCTGTTGAGACTGTACATTGCAACTCGCAGTTTAAGGTCCTCAGCTGACAAAAATAAATTTCTTTTACCTTCTATGAAGCTTAAAACAATGGGTGAAAGGGCATTTGATATCAAGGCCCCAAGCTCAGTAATGCTTTGCCAAGTACTTTAAGGGAGATCATATCTTTTGTTTCATTCAAATGTCAGCTGAAATCATTCCTGTTTTTAAATTAATAAGATGAATATTTGGAGTGATTGTCTTTTAGTCAGAGCACAACGTTTTATGTTACTGTGGTACATTGTGTTGTATTGTAAAGCGCTAAGAGCCTGCGTACTTTAATCGGGGTCTCAAATTTTTTATCGCTCCCTACCGCTGTGGACGGGCCGTCATAATTATTCCCCTGTCGTGTTTGTTAGTCCCTACAATGAATGTTTACCGAAGTTGACCAACGGGCAACAATATTTTCAGATGCTGGTTAGAGAAGCGTTTGATCTGTCATAACTTATAAGCCCGCCAAAAACTCATACACAAATCGTATGTGAGGTGACTGGTCACTGTCTTGTTTACGTTTAACTAATCTGTAACAAAGTAACAATGTATATGAGCATGAACTTGCGACAGAAGCGTCGCTCGTTCTCCGAATGGTGGTTACCCAGGCATTTTTTTTAACCAGGGCACTCGGTCTTCACAGTCTTTGATATTTCGTTTATCTCATCCTTGCACAAAATCAACAACAAAAAAGCTAAGCAAACAACTTACCCCAAAAAAAAAAATCAAAAAGAGTAATCCATTCTTTCACCACCCACCACCCCATTTTCAAAAGAAATCAAAACCTGTTTTGAATTTGCCTTACGTCAGTCTAAAAGCCTGAGATAATCCTCAGATTGGACCTCAGACGGGAACGGTTCGCTTTCTTCATTTTGATCAGTCCTGCCTAAGACGGTAACTCGTCTTACACGACCACTTTTTTCCTTGACAATGGAATGGCTGTTTACACAGGCTTGACTGTATATTATAATATCTTGCTGTTATTCAGCTTGCTGGAAATGGTATTCTTCAAGAAGAAGAAGAAGAAGAAGAAGAAGAAGAAGAAGAAGAAGAAGAAGAAGAAGAAGAAGAAGAAGAAGAAGAAGAAGAAGAA